AAGTGGATTGCATCTCCAATACTTCTGCTAGTTTTGTTGCAAGGATGGAAAACCGTCCACAGATCAAACAGGTAGCAATCTGATGCAGGGATGGGAACTTTCTTCCTTTTTTCCCCCTCAAATCCTAACAATATAAATAACACCAAGGAACGCTGGTGAGAGCTCTGCTATGATGGATGTCAGTTCCTGCTTGGTTCCTCATGACTAAATCAACTCCTCCCAACAGAAACACGTCCACCATAGAAAGATTCCTTTATTGTGTTTCTATAATTTCATCGATGCAACAAAACCTAAACCGCGCGGTGAAGCGTTACGCAATGGTATCGTTCCCTCACCTCATGCTGCTATGTGACATTTGCTCCAGGATAAACATTTAATCATGAATGCTTATTATATATTTGAGCCCACATAGTCCTTTTCTATAGTGGGATAATACACTTAGAGTCTGTGTTGCCATATAAGGCATATATAAGACTTTTACATTTTTGTGGCTCCAGACAGATTTCTTTATTTTTTTTTCTTTGGACCAATATGGCTCTTTGAGCAGTTTGGGTTGTCGACCCCTGCCCTAACCACTAGGCCGCCACTCCCCATATAATAATTTAACTTTTGTTGATCTCACACTGGATGAATTCACTTTCTGCATTTAACCCCAACTTGCCTTTTTTCAGACCTTCTGCAAGGGACTGATTCTCTTGCGGAATAAGAATTTGATCGACCCCACAGGCCTCCTGGAGCTCTTCTTCGAGCTGCTGCGGTGCCATGATAAGCTGCTCAGAAAGGTCAGTTTGTTCACTATCAATTACAGGATGCAGAATAGAACCATACCCACTTAGCTCCTTTGCATTTTGCATTACAGCTTTAAAGTAAACCATCTATCTAGTAGACCAAAACAAAGCAGATTTCAAATAATTTCTTGCACATATTTTGGGCAGGTCTGTTGTTGCGATTTTTCAGAAATTTAAAGTAGATCTAGTCACTAAGCTGTGACATGTTGGATGAGCTTTAAGGATTTATGGTTGTAACATAGAAAATAAAAGTTCAACATGTATGAATGTTTAGCTACATATATGTAAGCTTATTTCATGTTCTGTTTTATCTACAGACTCTGTACACGCACATTGTGACAGATATAAAAAATATCAACGCAAAGCACAAAAACAACAAAGTCAATACAGTAAGTAGAGCGTGTCAGAGTCTACATCAGCCATCTTTAAATGATTCATCCTCACTGCATGAGTTTTGTTTTGCTGTGTTTCAGACCCTGCAGAACTTTATGTACACAATGCTGAGAGACAGTAATCCCATAGCAGCAAAGATCTCTTTAGATGTGATGATTGAGCTCTACAAAAGAAACATATGGTGGGTTTAGAGTGGAGTAGAACGCAGATGTTTCCCGTAAATCATTGTGTTCATCGTTTTTTTTTTTTCTGCCTCAGGAATGATGCCAAAACAGTTAATGTCATTACAACAGCATGCTTCTCCAAGGTCACAAAGGTAAGGTTATTGTTTTTAGAGAAAGTGGTATGCGTGGATCTGCACCACCAAAAGCTGCTCTCACTCGATGTGTCTCTGTGTTAGATTCTAGTTGGAGGCCTGAAGTTCTTCCTCGGCACAGATGAAGATGAAAAAAACGACAGTGATTCAGAATCTGAGGCAAGTTTGATCAACACAGTGGTCATGTTTATTTGTAAAGTTTTAGTCTCAAAGTGAGTTGATGTTAAAAAAAAGATCTGTTGTTTTTTTTCTTTTATGTATAGAATGAAGGAACGTCTGTAAGAGACCTGATGATGAGGTACAACACAGGCAGAAAAACCACCAAAAACAAGAAGAAACTGGAAAAAGCGATGAAAGTCCTTAAGGTAACAGTATAAAAAAACAGAGTTGTTTTTTTTTTTTTTTTTCGGTGGGGGGGGGGGGGGGGTTGTGCTCACCTCAGGTTCAATGTTTTTTTTCTTCTAAAGAGGATGCTTGATTAGATATGAAGCTCTTTCAGGAGAAATATTCTAACATAGATATTTTTTCTGTCAGTGGAAAAGAAATTGCCTTAATTACAGGTGAAAACCTGGAATTAACCAGGTCATACATAGGAAAAGATGTGCATTCTTACCCAACTTCCTGATAGCTCCCTTTGGTTGAAATGTCTCCAGAAAGACTCCCGTCTCCATCTAACAATGTCTAACATTAATCTGAGGAAGGGTTCCCCCCTTTCCATGTATGCCTTGTTTTCCACTCATCTCACAGTAACTCAGTTATAATCAGGGCTTTGTATTTCTCAGCTTTTCAGCTTCGGCTTTATTTATTAATGTTTTTTTGCAGGTGATCTCACATTTTCATCCGACTAAACATCCTTTCAAACTATGTCATTTCCACCTCCATGCTTCACAGGTGTTACTAGATATATGCCAATCGTTTTCCAGGACAGGGTTGGGCTGCTGCTCTGAAAGCAGGATTCAAAAGGACGACTCAGACGTGCAGTAATGAAGCGAAATACCACTTTTGATTTTGATAAAGGATTAGCATTATAACACAGTTGCAAGCTTAAAAATTGTTTTGCATGATAAAGGGATGTAAATAATAATCGTTTTGTATCGATGCATCGATCCAACAGCCGACAATCCGATGCATCGATACGTCCGCAAGAGTATCGATTCATGTTTTTTTTTTTTTTCTCCGGTCTATTTTTATCCATTTGCTCCTGCGTGTAATTCTCCCTCCCGTGTTGTGGTGGCGCTAAACCTATTTTGCCCTCCTGCCTCGCTTCCTGGTGTGTTGCAGTAAGCTTGACACAGACCTGTTTGATTTATGCCCAACATTGAAGCGTGGTCCGTGCTACACGCTGTGGGTCTAGATACGGCCAAGGCGGTGAAGAAGTGTGGAGTGAGTTTAGTCCGATGACGGAGGGACATGAGGGCCAAAAAGTGCGGGGATCCAGGTGGGAAAAGGGTCCCAGCGTTCTCGCGCACCTCGGCCTTCTAGCGGGTCAAACTTCAGAGTTGTTTTCCACAATTTTGGTCATAAGGGTGACAGTGGCGTTGGATGTAGGAGTTTGCCCTGAAATCGAAGGATTGACGGTTCAAGCCCCGACTCCGAATTCATTGTTGTTGTGTCCTTGGGCAAGACACTTCACCTGCATTGTCTACTGATGGTGGTCAGAGGGCCCGGTGGCGGCAGTGTACGGCAGCCCCGCTTCTGTCAGTGAGCCCCAGGGCAGCTATGGCTACAATGTAGCTCACCACCATCAGTGTGTGCGTGAATGGGTGAATGGATCTAGTGTAAAGCGTTTTGGTCAAGTCTCCTGACTTGAATAAAAGGCGCTATATAAGTACATGCCATTTACCATAAAAACAAAACAAGCCAGCCTACTGTCTGCGGCACTGTTTGCGGTCAGCTACAATTTGGGAGAGATGCAGCGGAGCGTCTGTGGAGGGGATGGGGACGTCTGGAGCCGAGGTATTGCATTGCACTGATTTTGTGCAAGGCCTTTTAGAATCTATAACACGGGCATTATTATTTTTAGTGAATGAGGTTTTAATAGGAATAGGTGGACTGCAACTTTTCTACTTCTGTTGTTTGCTGTTGTTTCTAAAAAAAAAAAAAAAAAGCATAACGATATTACAGCTTTCATTGATTTATTTCAAATTTGAAACATTGTCTAGCCTGTAAGGTGTAAAAAAAAACAAAAAAAAAAACAGTCAATCGAATCAAATCGTATCATCGTGTATTCTTGAGTATCAAAAATAACCGAATCGTTGGGTCAGGAAATCGATATCGAATCGCCACGATGGGTGTGATTTACACCCCTAGCATGATTATATGCCTGTGTAAATTGCCAGTCGTCCTGGTCATGGTACTGGGAGACCCCTAACCAGAAATGCATTGTATTTTTTAGGTTGTTTTTTAATTTTTTAAGCATTAGTTAGATATCATTAAGATAAACACAGTCCCTCATATGGTGTCTTAATTTGGCTTTTTCTCCAAAAAAAGCTGCACACTTAACCTGGACTTTCGATGCATACAGCTTATGACAGTGAAGTGAACATGACCATATTTATAAAATGCAGCAGTGATCAAAAATGTAAACGGTGTAGGAGAAAAGGAAAACCAGTTTAAAAGTAACTGTGCGAAAGGTTCAGTGCAGAGCAAAATAACTAAATATGGTGCAAAATGCAGTTGAACATTGTGTTGTTCTATTTAAAGGGATTATGAAAAAATAAACCACGTTAGTAGTGCAGATACTTATAGTTTCCACAGTTGAACAGTCTGATGGCAGCGCTGGGATGAAATGTCCCTAATAGAAGGAAGATGAGCCCTGATGATCTGATCTTAATTTTATGTTTTTTTAAATTTCCTGCAGAAACACAAGAAAAAGAAGAAGCCTGAGGTCTTTAATTTTTCTGCGATTCACCTCATTCACGATCCTCAAGGTAGACTGGCCTACAGGCTCGGGGTTCTTATTGTCCTTTACTGAGCTGCTAACAGTCAAATCTATCTTCTCAAGATTTTTCAGAGAAGCTCCTAAAGCAGCTGGAAAGCTCCAAGGAGCGCTTTGAGGTGAAAATCATGATGATGGAGCTCATATCTCGTCTGGTTGGGATCCATGAGGTGGGTTTTGTTATTGTTTGGGGCTAATTAACAAGAAAAATCCACCTGTCTGTTCTGTGTGGTGGAAGAGCATATTGGACTTAATAGTTTTTGTTGTTTGCCCTCTCTAGCTCTTCCTCTTCAATTTCTTCCCCTTCATCCAGCGGTTTCTCCAGCCGCATCAGAGAGGTGAGGGTAACTCCCAGTTGAGGTCTGAGTGAGGGGGGGAGGTTTTTTCTAAACATCATTTTCTCTACAGAGGTCACCAAGATCCTGCTGTGTGCTGCCCAGGCTTCACACCAGCTGGTTCCTCCTGAGGTACGTCCTAAACTGATTCTGGAGGTCTCATCGATTTGACCTCATGGTGTGACATGTTGTCTCTCGCCTGCAGATCATCCAACCTGTGATCATGACCATCGCCAACAACTTTGTGACAGACAGGAACTCCGGAGAGGTCATGACTGTCGGGTACGTGGTTCTTTCACAATAAACACAGGGTCAAGATGTCAGGTTTCACCTATGAGAGTAGGTTGGATACTAGAGGTGAGCACAGCTGGGTTAAACACACCGGATGTACAGTTTTCTTTTAACTATGTGTTTAATGAAGGGATTCCAAAGGGGAAAATTTTAAAACAAGAAAAAATTACTCAACTGGTAAAGCTTCACTGTGTTTTATATTAATCAGATGGTGGTTAGTGACACATAGGATCTAAAATTGATATGAGGGTGTACACAACCTTGCAACCTCCTCTAATGATTTACATACACTAGAGACACTATGATGGTATTTCAGTGTATTTATCTTCTGTTTTCCACTCTTAGCATCAACGCCATCAAAGAGGTGGCCGCCCGCTGCCCGCTTGCAATCAGTGAAGATCTGCTGCAGGACTTGGCCCAATACAAGACCCATAAAGACAAGAGTGGGACATTTTTTGTGCTTTTATTTACTTATCTTTTATAATATTTTTAGTATTTTTTTTAATAATCTTTTTTCTTTTTTTTAAAATTCCCATTCATGTTTTTCTTTCTTTTTTTCAGATGTTATGATGTCTGCCAAAGGACTGATTCATCTGTTCAGAAATCTCAATCCACAGTTGCTGCACAAAAAGGACAGGGTGAGCTGCTGCAAACTTAAACCCTTATTATCATAAGAAGTATCATTTACAGAATAAGAAGAAAGGAGCACAATAAAACTTAAAAAGAAGAACTTATTGATAGCTTTTTACTTTCTAGTAAAAAAATAAATAAAATAGAAATGTTAGTGATGGATTATTAAAATAAATAGATTGTTTAAATAAAGAAAAAATCGAAACATATCCCTTTGCTGCCTTAATAACTATAGAGGAAATGTGTTGTTTAGGGGAGACCCACTGAAGCATCAACCGAGGCCAAAATAAAAGACTATGGAGAGCTTGAGGCCAAAGATTACATTCCTGGAGCTGAGATCCTAGAGGTGGAGGAGGAGAAAAAAGAGGAAGATGAGGATGAAGGTCAGCTGTGGTCCGACATGCATCAATCTGGTGTAATGCTGCACATCCCTTAGAGGTCTGATTTTACTGCTAATGTTGATCTCCAACATTCATCAGATGGTTGGGAGAGTGCGAGCATCAGTGATGACGGTGAGGACGGGGAATGGGTCGACGTTCACCACTCATCTGATGAAGACGTAGGCGAAGTGGTGAGAACGAAAAGGCATCGACAGCCAGACTGGGTCCTTTTGTTGGTTTCCTTTCTTTTTTTAACGTCTCAGAAATGTCTTTTAAGGCTGAGAAGCTCCAGAGTATACCGGCCGAGGAGAGGAAAGTGAAGGCAGCGGCAGTCAGCGCCAGCCGGCTCCTCACTCAAGATGACTTCAAGAAAATCCGCCTGGCCCAAATGGCGAAGGAGGTGAACGCCGCTCCGGGGAAAGCCCTGAAGAGGAAATTAGAGGAAAGCGACAGTGAAGAAGACAAGTGAGATAAAAAAAAAAAATACAATATATAGCAATATTTTTAGAGATGCACCAATCAGAAGTTTCTGCCTGCTTTTAGGTTGACCTGTAAAGTTTAGGTCGATGTCTGCTAAGCAATCTTATATGAAGAAAATGTAAAAGATTTGTCTTTTTTTTTTTTGTATGAAACAGGATCAGTTTAATTTTTATATTGCACTTTTTCAAGAAACAGTCTCCGAGATGAGGATTTGATCATAATTAGTACAGAAATAATGATTTATTTATTTTATTTTAAAGAAAAGAGAAAATTATTCTGAAGTGAGGCATCTTCTATTAGCATTTTTCTAATTCACGTTATTCCTTGACCAGCTTAAAAAAAAACAGAGTAGCAGCCGTTCTTCTATCTGCTGAAATGCTCCCTTTCTCATTCTCAGCCTAAATGACCCAGACATTCCTCTGATGTCATGTTAAATGTTCGCTTTATAATTGTGTCTTAAAACAATGGTCTTTAACCCTCTCGCCCCATATGGAATGCTAGTCATTTCTTTCCACAATAAGAATACGTGGGGCGTTAAGATCGGATTCATTATATAACCAGAAAAATATCAGATACATTTTTTTATTGTCAGCTAAGCTGATGTCTTTGTTAATCTTTTTATTTGATTTTAAAATTTTCCATCACCTTTGTTTATTCTGAATCCTTTTACTTTCAGTGGGGAGCTGCTGACACTTCGAGACATCGAGAGACTACATAAGAAACCAAAATCAGACAAGGAAACTCGACTTGCAACGGCAATGGTAACTTCTTACCCCGCCTTTACATTATTACCCTAAATGAAGAGTAGGGCTGCAACTAACGAATACTTTGCTCATCGATGAATCTGTTGAAACTTGTTTTGGATTAATAATCAGATGCTAAAATGTTCTTTTAAGAGCATTTATTACAGAATTTAAACCAAATGAAGCGAAATTTTGTTATAATTGCTTTGCTCTTTTACCTAAAGGTATGTTTTAGTCTATATATTCAAGTTAACAATGAATAGATTATAAAATTAGTTGACAATTATTTAAATAATGGATTAATCCAATTAATTGTTTCAGCCCTAATGCAAAATAATTTAATGGTGTAGTGACGGCCAGAGAAGAACATTTCCCGCTGTTAAGCCGTTATTGATGATAGATAAATGTCTGTTCACTGTCTAGGCTGGACGAACGGATCGGAAAGAATTTGTGAAGAAGCATACCAAGCTGAACCCGCACGCCAGCACCAGCAACAAGGAAAAGAGAAGAACAAAGAACTTCATGATGATGAGACACAGTCAGAACATCAGAACAAAAGGCAAACGCTCCTTCAGAGAGAAACAGGTATAGATATTTTTATCCAACTGTGGCTAAATGATAATGAGAAAAACATTTTGGCAACTTTATGAAATTAAAAATTTATTTTTTTTCCCCCAGCTTGCGCTTAAAGCTTCCCTCCTGAAGAAGAAGAAGCACAAGTAGGAGTATGAGGTTCTCATATTGGGTCTGACAGCCACCACGAAGAAAACGTACTGGGTCAAATAATATTGTACATCCTTTAAATGGCATGTAAACTCTGCAATTAACTACAATAATTGAAGCCCTTTTTTAAATAAATCAGCTGTATTTTTTGGGGACGTTACATATTTGTACAATAAATCTCCATGAAACTATTGAGTTGGGATTTTTTTTTTTGCAAAGATGTGACATAAACTGAAATAGTGATGGCTGCTGTTTGTTGTATAATTCATGTCAGTTCCATGACCTCGTTTCAAGATTCCTCATTTTTACAAGCACCCACAGGAATTTGCAGACTCCACTCTAATATGTAGTAAAGAAAGTCGTGCCAAACTGCAAAGAAGTTAATGTGTAATTTTATGAGACTCCATCACACATTAAAGGTCAGTTATATACCTATTTCCATGTTAACCCTTCACGCCTTTGCCTGCTATATTTTTCGCCTTAGTTTTAAGGTTTTAGTGTTTTCAACAGGAAATCCTGTTAGGACAAATAACAGTTGAGCTTTACAGAGTAAAGCAATTTGTTCTGTTAAATGTTGGATTTGCAATTTATTGCATGTCATCCCAATGTACATCTAAGAGAAATTAAGCTAGATTTTAATTATTTTATTGCATTTGATGGAGAAAAAGAGGAGTAGATTAAAAGATTTTTAATTCCATTTTTTGTATGTAATGTTCACAGTGGGATCCATGTTCACTGGAGATTGTTTCCGAAAGCTTGGATTACAATTAAGACAAAGTTTTGATTGGTGTATGGATTTGTTTTGTTTTACTAAAAGGACTTTGCTACCTTTTGTGTTTGTTTGCAAAAAAATCAGCGAATAAGGCAATATTCTTAATCCTTAAGAGAAATACGGTTGTTTTTAGAAGGCAGAGTAACAAATGAATTGGGATGTTTAGAGGATGAGATGATACCATGGTGTTACGGATCTCTCCAGGATCTGATCCCTTGCACTCCAGCCACAAACTATATGAGACACTTCCCTCTGGCAGGAGGCTGTGGTCCATCGGGACCAAACCTCACGCCACAAGAACAGTTTCTTTCCATCTGCTACCAGCCTTATCAACAAGGCCCAGAGACCCCGTGACACTGCCTCTGTTCCTCCCACGTTCAAAACCTACATGCTACACCAACATAGCATCTCCAGTCCTCTTGCGTTACATTAATAGTCTATTTGGTATATAGTGTATAGCTATATATTGTGTATGGTATTTTGCAGGGCTGCCAACTTTTCACCAAACCTTGGGGTGAGATTTAGAAATAGTTCAGGAAACTGTCAGGGTTAGATGAGGATGGGTGCAACTATAGGCTGGAGGTTTTCAGAGGATTTAACTGAAACAAAGTGGCAAAATGGGATTTTTATTGCAGGGTAAATGTTACTGAGTAACAATAAGTGTTCTGTAGTTGTGTGGAACATTTTTCTCACAATATACATTATTTTCTACATTCTGTTTTTTTTTTTTTTTTTTTTAGAGAATTGAAGTAAAGCATAATGGGCCCTACTTAAATACTTGCATATTAAATATACTTTAATCTAAGAATTTCACAACTTTGCTCATTAATTATTCTCTGCAGTTCAAGTAAATTAAACAATGGGGAACTACTAAGCTATAACGGGATTACTGACACTGATACAGGAAACAGGGCAATTGAAACCTATGCAAACTACACTGTGTATGAAAATTTGGTAATAGGCTAAGAATTAAAAAGCATCATTCATTATGTTATTACTTTTTCTTTCAACTGACAAAACGGCTAAACATTTCAGACCTTCTAAGAGGCTGTAGATTTTATAAAAACTCACCATGACAGGAGACAGCACTTCTCTGGATGTTTCATTTGGCTGTTGTGATGGAAATACTGTTTTAAACAATTCAATGGACTGGAATAAAGATAAATGAATAAATATATGTATATGTATCCAGGATAAATTAGCTGTTCTGCACATCCTCTCTGAATGCGGTTGGTCTTTTCTTGGGTGGCTGATCATTTGAAAAATAAAATGCAATGGTTATTTTTCTTTGTGTTCTTAAACCTGAAAGCTTTAAGAATTTAAATATTTGTGTTGGTTTAGTTACTCCTAAATGTCAATGGGAGATTATTAAACTAGACTGAGCAATAATTATTTAACTTGTGAGCAAAACATTGGACTAAAACTGGGACCCAAAAAAAAAAAAAAACACCAGGTAAAGAGAAAACAAATCATTGGATGTGATCCTTTTTAGTGTGAATATATGGAGCGAGAGTGTGTTAATACCTTGAGATGGGTGAGACTCACTCCCAATGGGTGAGAGTTGACATCCCTGAATTATTATATTATAGGTTTTATATTATATATATATATATATATATATATATATATATATATATATATATATATATATAGGCTATCTAAATTAATGCAGTGGAAGGTAATTGCATATTACAGTTAAAGTACGGTATTGCAAATGTATATGTAAACAATTGTTACTGTGAATAAGTAGTCGGCAGTAATATATATATGTATATTTTTATTTATTTATTTATTTTTATACACCAGGTCAAATTCGTTGTAAGTGCAAACCTAGTTGGCAATAAATCTGATTGTAATTGTAGTCCTTCGCCGACACGTTCCCCCCCCCCCGACTACAATACCCAGAAACCCCTTGTCACAACTGTTAAGCTTTACCACTCAAAGAAGCTGGCACTTTAAATCTTTCTCGGAAATGAGGTACGTTGTTTGGCTATATATTTAAATTAATGAACAGTTCTTTTAACATTTTACTAGACTTTCTATCGCTGTGCACTGAATATGTCGACATGTCACGGTTAAGCCCTCGGCGTTTCCTGACAAGCTAACTGTCATGCCGATGCTGTTAGCAAACAAGCTAGCAGTCAACCGTTAGCCTGGCTAGCTTCATTTATCAATTTAATCACCTTCGTTACAATTAACCTGATTAACTGACTAGGACTTGGGTTAGAAATGGTATTATAAACAGCATGGTAACGTCTGAGTAATCGTTCACGAAAAAAGGTGACTTACGGCTTATTTTGTTTGGGGTACGATATTTAATTTTAGCTTTAGTTTAATAAATCACTCCATATAGCTACAGTGTATTTGGCTAATATTGGTCAGAAATGCTTTCTAGCTAAGGATTTGTTTTAACCATATTGATTCTGAACTTATATTATAATGCTAAAACTATATTTAGGACATTGAATAGTGGCACATTTGTTAAAGATAAAAATGTTTGTCTTGAAATGGGTAAAGGGACTAAATGTTGAAATATTACTAATCTGATTTACTTCACAAGGCACGACCAGGTATGAGCCGTAGGACTTATTATCTTTAAAAAAGAAAATATACTTTTTCTTTTCTCCCAAGTCTGAATAAGTGTGGAAAAAATAAGTATACATTTTTTTTTATATTGTGTATTATTGTTGTTATTGTTTTTTTTATTTTTTTTATCTCAGTCCATTTTATATTCTAGTCATTCCATTGATTTGTCAGTCTGGTTATCTGTTCATCCTTCTGTTTGAGTCATCTTGTGTTGTTTATTATCTTGGTTTGTGATGTGTTGTAAACTTGAGCGTGTGTTCTTTATTTTCTACACTCATAACAAATTATGAGTTTTAGGATGTTGGGTAACCCTGAGGAAAAAAAAGTACTGACAAATAGTTTTCAGTTTTTGATATGTTTGTTCATGTCTTAAAATGTTGAGGGTTTTCAAAGTGGAATGGAACTGATTCTCTGTTCGATTTTAAGGGAATGGATTTCTGCGCTCACATCTGAGAGAACTAGTGATGAGGGGTAATACACTGAGTTTATTTAGACCAGACCATTCTAAGGTCAGGAGATACAACATAGCAGCTATTAGGTGTGGGTAAAGTTTAAGCCCTGCTCAGGCTGATGTCTTTGTCTAACTATGGTGTTTTCATCTCATCAGTATCAAGGATTTTGATTAACTGTTTGTCTTCCACAGTTAGAAAATTGACTGAATTTCTAGAAAATGGATCAGGATAATCTAGGGCTGGGCAATTAATCGATATTATCGATTAATAATTTTTTTTTTGTTTGTTTATGAACCTTTTAGGCTTTCATAGCTCAGAGTGACGTCCGCTCATCACTTTTTCTTCGTAGATGTGTGCTTTTACCTGATAAACGGCTTCTCTGTGTGCATCCACTAGCTGTAAACATTTAGTTTGCTGGATGTTCATTGTTGTAAAACATCAATATTTTATGATAATTTTTTGCACATCTTGAACTTTCTAGTAATATATTTCATATTCTTTGTAAAACTTAAACATGAAAAGAGGGATTTAGTCAAAATTGGTAGTAAAAAAACATTGGTATTTAATTTATAGGATATTATAATCGAATAATTTCATCAGAAAAATATATATAAAAAGTCGTACTTTATCCTTAAATGAATTTGAATTTTATTGCGAGTCAACACAGGAATTCGCCCTACAACCCAGTTCTACTTGTAAAATAAGTTTATTATCTGTCATTGACCTCTTCAGGTGATAGTTATAAAAGTTTAAGTCTTATTTAGGATGTTTTGTTGACATTACATGGTATGTATTGGTAAACATTGCAGCAAAAATGCTCTGGTTGTATTATCGTGATGGTACAAGTCTGTATCTTATATTGTTTTTGTGTGGCATAGTTTAATAAGTTAGTAAATAACCATAGATTATGTGCTTCCTATATTCTTGTACATTGGTGTTTTCGCTGAGGGTTTGTGTTACATTTTCTCTCTTCTTCTTTGCAGGTGCCATTTCCTGTAGCCCACCATGGCACCGGGGGACGTGGTGCCAGAGAATGCCAAGGAGAAACGTCCAGGAAACAGGGCGTCCAAAGCAGAATGTGAGCCTGACGGCTCATTTGTCTTTGAGGCTCATGAAGCCTGGAAGGACTTCCATAACTCTCTAAGGCATTTCTATGAAGTCGGGGAGCTGTGTGATGTCACACTGAAGGTAGAAATGGCTATGCCCTTTGTGTACTCGTCAGCATAGTTTAATTTACCGTTTCCTGCATCATGTATTCTGTGCTTCTCTTTCTTATAGGTTGGCAGTAGATTGATACCATGTCACAAGTTAGTTCTAGCTTGTGTTATTCCCTACTTCCGGTAGGTTTAGTTTGCTGTGTTTCTTTACCTTTGGTACACAGAATTGCCTTTTTTTCACTTGTTTGAAACATCGGAAATGAAAGGTATCAAAAATATATAATAATAACCATAATTGACCTTAATAAATATCACACTGGAGAAATTTAACTCTGAATCTAACCAATCCCCTTGGGGAGCAGTGGACTGCCATTGTGCGGCGCTCGGAGAGCAGTGTGGAGTTAAGGGTCTTGCTCAGAACCAGAGTGGAGGCTGTAGGGATTGAATCGGGTACTTGCAACTAGGCTTGTCCCGATCCGATACATGGATCGGATCGGGACGCCGATATTGGCAAAAAAATGCGCATCGGCAAAGCATGTAAAATGCCGATCCAGACTGCCGATCCAGTTTTTAAAAAAAAATCCGGTCCATATTTTCCAGCTTCGCCGATTGAAATGATCCATTCCACTATTTTGCGCCAGTGTTTCCCTGTTTTGCATTTTTATCAAAACTTACAGTAATACTTGCACCTTTAACTGTTTACGGTTTTACTGTTCACTGTGCAATTTCAGATTGCTATTCATAATTTTGTCCAGTTTGTGTTTATCTCTTAATAAACAGGTAAGTTTGTTGTTACCAAGCATTGTGTTTTATTCAATCTCACCTAATTTAGCTGGCTAGATGTTATCAAGAGTACTAAAACCCTTTTCAACATGAGTCTTACAACTAAGGCTAAATACTTTAACTTAAACTCAAATACATGCTCGGATAGGCTGGTATCGGCCAGTATCGGTATCGGATCGGAAGTCCAAAAACAATATCGGTATCGGATCGGAAGTGCAAAAACCTGGATCGGGACATCTCTACTTGCAACCCTCTCAGTGCACAAGCGCACTGCTCTAACCACTAGGCCAACACTCCCCTTTTGTGAAATGTGGAAATAAATTATTTTGATCCATTGTATAACAAAAAAAAAAAGAGTTCAAGATCAGATGTAGATCCAGCATGGTGATAAGATATTGCTGGAAATGATGGATGGGAATGTGATGGTTTTCTGTTAAATTAACTGTTAAGAGTTTTTTTTTTTTTATTGGGGACAGTACTTTAATGGAGTTTCTGTTATACATAATTATTCTCTACATTTCTAAGATTGTCATACCAAAATGTATCACTTTCTGTAGGTTATCTGGCTATGTGCTTTGTTTTGTATTTTTTATTGTATGATAATTTTATGCTAGTTTATGAATTCACAAACTCCTGAAAATACTTCTCAACAGAAGCCAACAGGTTTGTTAGCCTCAAATACAGACATGTTCCAAAGTAATGTAATGCAGTGACCTGTGTGATGATAACCAGAAGTGACAAACTGAAGCAAAACAAAGATGGCTCCACCACTTTTTAGCTGGAATACCCTCTATCTTTTTTGAAAAACAATTAGAAGGTAGAGTCTGTACCTTTGTGGAAGGGAATGATGTTTGCCCGTTCCTCCGGACCCGATTTGGAAAGACTTGGATTTATAAGTTAACTCCGCTAGTTGTGAAACAAATTAAGAATGTGACATGTCACAGCTGCTACTGCTGCTGTGATTGGCTGTAATCTCGACATGGGAGGCATCTGCCACTTGGTGATTCCCCAATCAGCTCGAAGAATCAAACTGAATGTCCCTCTCCTTTGCAAACACTTTTCACAGGAGCCATTTCAGATGGATGAGCGCTGCCATAAACAGATTTTCTCAATATTTTCTCATTATGTATAATTTGCAATTACTATTTGATACCCTGTGCAATAACCTGTTTCTCTACATTTGACACCCAGTGCAATAACTATATATATAAATATCCATCTATATAAATACCCATAACCAAAGCAAGTGGGTAACTTTGTTGAACTTAGATTTGTTTATTAAGTACTTGTATGCATTCAACAATGGGGATTGAAGTTGATTATTTGGATGTTTGTTTGTTTTTGTCGTATCAGATATTGAAGTGATAATCCTTTATGTCTCCTCAGGGCCATGTTCCTGTCAGACATGTCTGAAGCCAAGCAGGATCTTATAGAGATTAAAGACTTTGATGGAGATGCCATCCAGGACTTGGTGCACTTTGCCTATTCCTCCAAACTCACTCTAACTGTTGACAATGTTCAGCCTCTGCTCTATGCTGCTTGCATCCTGCAGGTAAACAAAGTACTCTCTCTCTTTAGTGTTTTATTCTGAAGGTTTAGTTTAATGTAAAATGCAGTTTAGATTTGATAATAAAAACCCTACCCCATGTAAGGATGAATGATCTACAACCTTGACTCTGATAGGTGGAGCTGGTTGCCAGAGCCTGCTGTGAATACATGAAGGCCCACTTCCACCCCACCAACTGCCTTGCAGTTCGAACCTTTGCTGAGAGCCACAACCGTGTGGACCTGATGGACATGGCCGACCGCTATGCCTGCGAGCACTTCACCGAGGTGGTGGAGTGTGAGGATTTCACATGCGTGTCACCCCAACACCTGCGCACATTATTATCCTCTTGCGACCTCAATATCCACTCAGAGACACAAGTGTATAACGCAGCTGTGAAGTGGCTGAAAGCAAACCCGCAGCACCATGAAGCCTGGCTGGACCAGATAATGTCTCAGGTTAGACTATTTTTATAATGAATCTTCCTTCCTTCCTTCCTTCCTTCCTTCCTTCCTTCCT